TCCAGGTACATCAAGGCCAGATATCTGGGTTAGGGGTTGATAGAATGCTTGCCTAGAATGAACAAAGACCTGGGCTCAACCCTCATCATCACACACACTGGGCATGGTGACACAGGCCTGTAATCCCAGCACTCAGGAGTTCCAGGTCATCTTCAGGCCCACAGTGAGTTTCAGGCCAGCCTGGGGTTATTTATCAACCACCACCACCCACCCACCACCACCACCCCCGCCAAATAAGGCTCGGGGTCTGCCAGCCAGGCTCCACACCACCCGCCCTGAGCTCTGGGCTGAAGATATAACACAAGGAAAGGAGGCAGATCAATTAAATGTGTGTTTTCTTTTCTTGTTGCTGTTGTTGGTTTGGGTTTTAGGGGATAGGATGTCCCTTGAGCCCAGGCTGGCCTCAATCTCATGGTCCTCCTGCTTCAGCCTCTTAAGTGCTGGGATCACTGGTGTGAGTCACCACATCCAGCTAAAACTATATTCTCTCTTTTTTAAATTAAACTTATTTCATGTGTATATGTGTGTGTAAGTCAGACGGTAACCTGCAGGAACTGATTCTCCCTTTGTACCATGTGGGTTTCGGGATTAAATTCCAATCCCCAGGTTTAGCAGCAAGTGCCTTCGACCTGTTGAATCTTCTCACTGGCCCCACAATCACACATTCTTGATAAAACTGCCACAAAGTAAGAGAGTAACTGTGCGGTTTTGAATGAGCGTGCCCCACAGGCTCATATGACTTGATGCTTAGCCCCCAGGGAGCGGCACTGTCTGAGAAGGATGAGGAGGTGTGGCCCTACTGAAGGAACAGTGTCACTGAGGTAGGCGTTTAGGCTGCGAGCGCTCAAGCCAGGCCCAGGGTCACTGTTCTTCCTGCCGCCCGAGGATCTGGATGCAGAACTAAGTTTCTTCTCCAGCACCAAGTCTGTCTGCATGCTGCCATGCGGCCCTCCATGATGATGGTAGACTAGGCTTCTGGAATTGTAAGCAAGCCCCTAATTAAATGCTTTGTTTGTTTGTTTATGGTTTTTCCAAGACAGGGTTTCTCTGTGTAACAGTTCTAAGTGTCCTGGAACTCACTTTGTAGACCAGGCTGACCTCAAACTCACAGAGAAAGTGCTCTTAACTGCTGAGCCAGCTCTTCACCCTCCTCTTTCTGTCCATTAAATTAAATTTATTTATTTATTTGTTTTATTGAGAAGGGGTCTTTTTATGTAGCTCCTGAAACTCCTTGTGCAGTCCAGGCTAGCCTAGGACTCACAGAGATCTGCCTACCTCTGCCTCCAGAGTGCTGGAATTAAAGGTGTATGCCACCACTGCCCAGAATGGACAAGATTCTTTTTTTTGTTGTTTTTTTGTTTTTTTGAGACAGGGTTTCTCTGCGTAGCTTTGCGCCTTTCCTGGAGCTCACTTGGTAGCCCAGGCTGGCCTCGAACTCACAGAGATCCGCCTGGCTCTGCCTCTCGAGTGCTGGGATTAAAGGCGTGCGCCACCACTGCCCGGCAATGGACAAGATTCTTAACAGAGAAAAGTTGCCCAATCTTGAGAACACCTGGCCCATGGGGTCTTGTATGCTGGCTCCTGAACACAAATCCCACTCACCTCCCACGCCAGTCTTCTGCTGAGCCACATAGGACTCAAACCGAAGGCGGAAACGGTTCTCACCGCCCAGGCGGCCATGAGTGCCGTCGTCCACCAAGAAGAAGGCAGAATAGTTGTAGTCCAGGGGGAACTCAATTCCATCCTCAGGATCACCACGCCATCTGTACCTCGCAGGGAATGAACCCTGAGGACAATGCCACACAGAGAAGTCTTTAGGAATGGACAAAACGTTCCCCAGCAGATCTGGAGGACCAGACCCAGCCCTCCTCCCTCAGACCCAAGGATCTTCCCCAGCCCTCCTCCCTCAGACCAGCACTCCGGGTCAGGGCCTCTTCTCGGACTCCCATTCCTACCTTAGGGTTGATCAGCATATCTCTGTTCCGGACCACACCCCAGGGGGCTACACCCATGGCAACCACCTTGCTGCCCCCGGTGCTTGCCATCTGGTGGTCCCTCACAGCCACACCCACGTGGCGGCCTATGCCTGTGTGCAGTCCCCCTGTCACAATCCAGGCCCCTGTGTAAGACAGAGAGGGGACAGAGTGGAACACAGTGAGGCGTGGAAACGGGGCAATGCCCTCCAGCCCGGGCAACGGCGGGCCCTGTGGTCACCTGTGCTCTGGGCAGCTCGCACCAGCCCACGACGCAGAAGGTCCTGCAGCCAGGTCTGGAGCACGGGGCCCCCCGATCCCCCCAGTACTGACACCACCAAGTTTGGGGCACGAAAGCCCCAAGAGCGGGTGACGAGACTGTACACAGTGGCCGGATCTGTGCGGTCAGACAGCCGGAGGAACTGTGGACACAGGAGGAAGAGACACGTGGGGGACAGAGAGACAGAGACAACGGGGGACAGACCCAGAGGGGTGGGGAGACAGAGACCCAGAGAGGGGGGGAGACAGAGACCCAGAGAGAGGCAGACAGACAGACAGACTGGGAAGCAGCAAGGACCTAGAGAGAGAGAGGGACAGGCACTTAGAAGCACCCAAGAACAGGGTGGGCCAGCCGGGAGACACATTGAGCCATTGTCCCAGCCCCACCCTCCTGGTGGCCCAGACATGCAGGCCTCACGTTGCTGGGCCTCCTGCCGGAATACATGAAGTCCAGGTCGCCGTAGGCATCTGTGGGCTTCTCGGTAGTGTGCTCATCACTGTTCCACTCCGAAACCACGGCTGCCCCGAAGGCATCCTCCACGGCCACAGATGGGTGGACGTCCCGAGGCCTCCCACACTGGCACAAGGTCCCTCTGGGGGCATGAGGGTGGAGCGTGAATCCTGGGTGTCCCCACTGACTCCATCCTGTACAAATGTCCATATCCTGTCCACATGGACCCTGCATCCCCGGAGACAGAGGCCACAGCAAACCCAGTGCTGGCTTTGACTACCGGGAAGTGACTGAGGCAAAGACCCCCTAGAGCCATGCTTCATCCCAAATAAGCCAGGACAGGTAGACTGGCCTGCAGGATCAGAATCAAGAATGGCAGACGACCATTGGCAGGTACCCCAAAAGATGACATATACTATGAAACCGAAAATTTAAAACAGAAAAAAAAAATTGTAAAGATTCAACAACAAAAAGCTGGGTGTGGTAGTTCATGCCTGGAATCTCAGCACTCACTCAGGTAGGTGCATTTCTGTGAGTTCGAACCAGCCTGGTCTACAGAGTGAGTTCCAGGACAGCCAGGGATACACAGAGAAACCCTGTCTCAAAAACAAAACAAAACAAAAGAATGATTCAAAGTTTGGGTACCAGAGGATGAAGCCATCGTGCGGTTTGGGGCAAGCATCTCCCCCTCTCTGAGACTAAATTTCCTCCTCCAATACAAGATAGTAAAAGCTCCTAGGAACTCAGAGGAGCCAAGAAAACCAGGAAGTGTTTCCTTAAGTGAGACTAGCAACCAGCCGCAGCTGGAGACCATGAACTCTAAACAGAGCTTTAAATGGCCTAGAATTACAGAGTAGGAAAGTCAAGACTTTTCCAGTGTTCCCTGACCGCAAGGGGGGTGCCCTGCTGGTGCTGGCCTGGCATGCTTCAGCCATCCCCAGGCTCACTCCCTCAGGCAGAAAGGCAGGAGCGGGCGGCCGAGCCCAGGCAGTGGTGGCTTTATTCACTGCTCAGCATATCCCAGGCAGTGGTGGCTTCATTCAGTGCCTGCTGAACCCAGGCAGCGATGGCTTTATTCACTGCCTGCTGAGCCCAGGCAGTGGTGGCTTTATTCACTGCTCAGCATATCCCAGGCAGTGGTGGCTTTATTCACTGTTCAGCATATCCCAGTGCAGTCCTCCCTGCCTGTTTCCTTCTCGTTCTGAGAAACAGGCAGCAGATGATGGTTTCCGTTTCTGGTCTCCTAGATACAGTGTTTTCCCCTCTAAATAAGGCCACAGTGGGCTGGAGAGACGGCTCGGGGATTAAGAATGCATGCAGAGGCCCAAGCTGGATTCCGGTACCCACATGGCAACTCACAACCATCTGTAACTCCAAACCCAGGGGATCCTGGCCATCTCAGGCACCATACAGGCACACGGCGGACAAACACAAGCAGGCAAAATGCCCATATAGGTAAAACAAATAAAAATCATAAATGTACAAGTGTCGCTTGTGCTAAGCTGAACTGTCGCCTTAGTTTCCAAAAGCAAGGAGCAGGGACTGGGGAGACACAGCTAAGTCTCCTGGGCCCCGACTCTAAAAGGAATTCAAATAGTGGGGCTCGCCTGCAGGTCCAGAAGTTACGTGAGCTGCTGACTCAGGAGTGGCACTTTTATTTTCAGGGCTGGCTTCAAACTTACTACAGCCAAAGCTGATCACAAATTATTTCTTCTCATATATTTATTTATTTTTGGCCTCAAATTTCTGATCCTCCTGCCTCAGCCTCGAGAGTTCTGGGATTACAGGTGTGCACTACCTTAGCAGTGCAGAGGACGGAGCCCAGGGTTAGGGCATGCTAGGCAAACATTCTAACTGAGCCTCTTGGGGCTGGTTTATCTTAATTTTTTTTTTCTTTCTTTTTCAAGACAGGGTTTCTCTGTCCTGAAACTCGCTCTGTAGACCAGGCTGGCCTCGAACTCACAGAGATCTGCCTCTGTGTCCTGAGTGCTGGGATTAAAGACGTGTACTACCACCACCCGGTATCTAAAATGTTCTTCTGTTTTCTATGTATGAGTATTTGCTTCCATGAGTCAGTGCCCACATACATGTGTGGTGCCTGTGGAGGCTGGAAGCGGGTGTTGGATCCCCGGGACTGGAGTTAAAGATGGCTGTGAGGCATCACGTGACTGCTGGGAACTGAACTCAAGTCCTCTGCAAGAGCAGCCAGTGCTCCTAACCACTTGCCATCTCTCCAGCCCCCATCCCTTGATTTTTGAGAGCCCAAGTTGGTCTAAAACTAGCTTTACAGCCCAGGCCGACCCTGAACTTCTGATGCTCCTGCTCCACCTCCTGAGTGCAGAGTCCACCAGCGCACCTTGAGCACCTACTGTAAGCAGCAGTTTTACAGATGTGCTGATGCAGGCCATGCTAGTAGGTCACGCACAGGATACACGTCAGGTCTGTGCCTCCGGCCTGTTGTCTTCCCGTAGCTGCAGTGAAGGACACAATCTCCTCCTTCTCTAAGGCCACTCAGTTTCCCCCACTGGATCCAATTACCCATTTGGACCTCACTCTTGCCCCCCCACCCCATTCCCTCTTCTAGTCAAAATGTCTACATGGAACATTCTGGAACACCTAGCCCCAAGGGGTCTATTGTCTATATGGGACTCCTTATAACCCAACTTAACAAGTCAAAATAAACTCGGGGGAGAAAGTGCTTGCCTTGAAGGCATGAGGGCCTGAGTTCTGACCTTAGGACCCATAAACATGGGTGTGATGGTAAACAGTTGTAAGCCCAGTGCTGGGGAGGAGGGGACAAGGGTTCCCGGGGCTCACTGGCCGCCGGCCCAGCCAGGTCACCCCAAGCTAGTGAGAGACACTGTCTCAATAAACAAGGTAGGTGGTGTGTGGGGACCACCACCCGAGGTTGTCCTCCGGCCCTGTATCCACGTGCACACATTTGTACCTGCACTTGGGAGCACACCCAAAATAACATCCAAGGAAAACTCAGTCTCTCATCACAGTTCACACCTCAGGCTTCCCTCACCATTACTGTCTCCATCCTCAACATGGACAGTGAGCACTGTCACCCCAGAAGAAAGTTCTGGTCACGTGGCGCTGGCAGCGTTTCCTGTGCCTGCCTGCCCTGACATCTTGCTCTGTGTGGCTCTGAGGCACAATGGCGCTATTCAGGTGTCACCTCACCGTCAGAGGTGGCCGGCTACCATGGAATGCACCCACTCTGGAAACCCTGGCCTGATCCTCCCTCTCCCCAAAGCCCAACCGCCATGCTGCCTCCCGGCTGTCCGTCATGACACTCTATCTAGCCCAAGACCCGCAGGAGCCAAGAGAGAGAGTTAAGAAGCTTCCGGGAAGGAGGTGGACAGTGGTGGCTAGCATTCGTCTTAGAGGCGGAGATGGGACGGGCGGGTAGGTGGGCGTTTTGTTTTTTATCTTTTTGTGTGAGCATTTGCCTGCGTGTCTGTCTGTCTGGGTACCATGTATGTGCAGTGCCTGTGGAAGCCAGAGGAGGAAGTCGGGTCCCCAGGAACTGGAGTTACAGATGTTTGTGAGCCGCCCTGTGGGTGCTGGGGACTGAGCCGCCCTGTGGGTGCTGGGGACTGAGCAGCCAGTGCTGGGACCACTGAACCAGCCCCTCCCGGCTTGGTTTTGGTTTTTGTTTTCGATAAGGTCTGCTTCTGTAGCCCAGGTTGACCCAGACCTTCCTTCAGTGATCTCCCTGACTCTGTCTCCTGAGTGTTTGAATGACAGGGTGGGTTTCTTGGGTTTGGGTTTTGGTCCTGGGAATGGGACCCAAAACATGCTAAGTACATGTGCTTCACTGAACTACAGCCTAAGCCCAGAGACAGATGTTTAAACTTTTCCGTGCAGGAAGGAGGGAGGAGGCAAGAAAGAGAGGGAGGGAGGGAGGGAGGGAGGGAGGGAGGGAAAACTGGCTGTGGGGTGGCCTTTGCATTTCCCTCTTCTGCTTCCACAGTTTCAATTTCCACCCATAGCTGGGACCTCTGAGACCCCAGGGTGAGCCTCAGCCTTCTGCTAAGTACCAGTTGGGTCCTCACCCTCCCCACCCCGCTTCCCAAGGCCCATCATGTACACAGATGCAGGGGTGCACTCATTGTCTGTTTTCAAACCTGCTTGTTCTCCTGTGATGACTGTATCCCCCCCGTAGTCCGTCTCCAGGAGCCCCCCGACCCAGGAGCCCCCCGACCCAGGAGCCCTGGTCCCCAATGTTCACTCTCAGCTTCCTGACCTCCTATCCATCCTCACACAGTTCCCACACAGAGCCTGCCCAGCCCCCACAAACCTCACACTCAGGTGGCCCCTGAGTGCCCAGGAGGTCTGGCACCAGCCTCCTCGCCCATGGCAATGTTCTTTACACCCTGAACTCTGCTCTGTCTTCAGGTCACATCGGGCTGTCGTTAGGGAGGACTTCGAACATGCAGTTCCAAGGCCCAGAGCCACATCCAGGCACCACACTGCAACATCTCCTCAGTGACACCTGTGCCCATCAGCTCCCAGCTCCCACTGACTTCTGTCACCCTGTCTGTTCCTTTGCCGTCAGTAAACCAGTCTGTGTGTTTGTTTGCACATTTTCCCGCCCCACCACGGTGGGACAACAGGCCCCTGAAAAAGGCACACTGAGGAAAAGAGATGACTACCCCAGGCCAAAAGCCCACCCTGAGAGAAGATTTAAAGTGGACCCAGCCAGGGAGGCCACGGATGGAGCTGGGAGACCCTACGGGGCTCGCTTGGGTCCCCTGCCACCCACAGCACAGCACACAGTGGTAATTGCCCTCTTCTCGAGGGAGTTGCAGATATTTCCGGGTGTTTATTAGATGGTGGGCAGAGTTCCAGAACCGTCCCAAAGTGACCTTGTTTAGTTTGCACAGCAACCTCAGGAGGGAGTAGCTTTCTGTGCCCAGGTGACAAGCGTGGCCCAGGAAGAGAATTACTCTCCCAAAGCGGCAGCGCTCTGTTCGGCTGGCAGGGCTTGCAGGGCTATGCTCGCCTGTGCTCGCCGGGCCAGCAAGAGTGGAGGGAAGACACAGAGAGCCAAGGCAGACAGAGACAACGTGACACAAAGAGAGACACATGGACGAGACACAAAGACACGGAAGGGATCCCTGAAGCGTTTACACGCTCCCCCACCCCCGGCTAGGGGGAGAATGCAGAATCCGAGGTGTGCCTTAGGCAGAGTGGCCCAAACCAAGGGCAGGGAAGAGTCTGAGGGGGAGGCGGGAAATGGTCTGGGTGGGCGGGGCCTGTCTGCGGTGGGTGGGGTCTGTCTGTGCGGGGCAGAGAAGGGTCTGTCTGGGGTGGGCAGGCCTTGTCTGCGATGAGCAGGGCGAGTCCGGTGTGTGGGGACGGAGCCCGTCTGCCGCGGGCAGGGCCCCCGAACCTGGGCTGCCAGGTCAGCAGCCCCGAACTGCTCACCCCGAATCATCGCAGAGGTCCACTATGAACGTCGTGCACACTTTCTTCCTGAAGATCTTAGGGATCCAGCTCTGAGAACCGGAACAAGAAGGGCAGGGCGAGGACCCGGGTCAGACCCACGGGATGCGAAGACAGCCCCGCGCGCCCCGGGGACACCTTGGGAACTGCAGTGTCCTCCTCCCGCAGGCTCAGCCGGGACCCCGAGCCCCTCCTCGGTCCGGGAACTCCCGGCCCCGCGCCCGCGGCATCCCTCCGGTCCCGGCGGGGCTGGCGCCGCCCCTGGAACCCGCTCACACCCAGCCCCGCGCTGTGCGGTACCTGCTCCTTCTCCAGCCCCACCATGCCGCCGCCGCCGCAGCCCCTGGGGCTCCGTGTATTTCTTCCCAGCAGCCGACCCGCCCGACCAAACCGGATCCGCAACTTCGCAGCCTAGCCCGGGGCGGGGAGCCCTGGGGAACACGTCACGGGAGGCGGGAAGAGGGCGGTCTGCGAGGCGGAGGAGGGACCGACTGGGCTGCCTAGACGGGGGTGGGGTCGGGGAGGGGACCAAAGACCCTCCCAGGACAGAGCGAGCAGAGGAAGGAAAGAGACAGAGCGGGCCGTGGGAGAAACACAGACTCAGAGGGCAGAGACTGCGAGAAAGATCCAGAGAGAGAGAGAGAGACAGAAACTAAGAGAGGGACCCAGAGAAAGAAAGGGGGGCAGAGACCGAGAGAGAGAGAGAGAGAGAGAGACCCAGAGAGGTGGGGTGGGGAGGGAGGCAGAGACCCAGAGAGAGAGGAGGACAGAGATAGAGACAGAAAGATAGAAACGCAAAGAGAGAGGGTAGAGGACAGAGTCTCAGAATCAGAGACAGAGGGACGGGCCAGGAGAGGACAGGCACAGTGAGAGCTGGAGAGTCGGAGGGGTTCAGAATCCTCAGAAAGAGCCGGGACCCTCGGAACCGGTGACTACAGTGGCGGTGGGGAGCTTGATTCATAAAGGACAAAAACCCCAAGAGCATGGGTATGTTGACCAGTGTTGACTCTGAGAAGGGTGACAGCTGTCTCCTGCCAAGTCCCTCCGGTGGGGACAGCTGGGGCCTCGTAACCTGACCCCCCAGCACCCTCCCCCTGCTGTATTTATAGCTCTGGCCTGGTCCCCTGCCCCCAGATCTGAGTTCCAGGGACAGGAGGTCACGGGGTGTTGGGGACAGGACTCCTTCACTCTCTTCCACAGCCTCTGCATGTCACCCACTTCCACACCAAGCGTCCCATCCTGGCCGCACATCCTCACTAGTGTCCCCCAGGTCTTGCATGGCAGGTCCCTTGGCGCCCATATTTACTCCTCATCTCACAGCGCCCCAGGCTCTTCCAGCACAGCATTCTGAAAGTCTAGCCTTGGCCTTCAAGTGGCCAAACTTGAGCTTTGGGGCAGTCCAAAGACAAGTCCCTGCCCCCTCCTGGCCATGAAGACCCCTCCGCCACCCTGTCCTGAGCCAGAGGAACAGGAGGGGAGGGCAGGCAGGGAGTGACCAGAATAACTTAGGCTGAGGATAAATTTAGCCACAAGGAGGGGAGGGGACAGACCCCATTGGCCCAGCAGTGGGAAGGGAGGTCCTGGAACCAAGGGTCACGGGCCCCAAAGGGGACATCCTCAGAGAGGCATCCAAGACCTGAGGAAGATAGACAAGAAAACAGTGGGAGAGAATACCACCCACCCAAGAAAGACAACCTCAAAGTCAGAGCAGGAGAGGCGCAAGGACCCATCAGAGGCAGCTGAAGCCAACCTCAACTGCTAAACGTCCCCATGGGCTTCCAGGGGCCATGGCTGCACACTTGTCTCCTTTGGGTGACAGTGGCCAGCCTGCTGGTCCCTCCAGCGGTGACCCAGGAGCTGAGAGGGGCTGGGCTAGGCCTCGGCAACTGGAACAACAATGCAGACATCCGTGGGTCTTCAGAGGACATGTCAGCGGAGTTTGGCCACCACATCCACAGCCACGGGGGCCATCGAGATGAGAAGGACAGAGATCACAGAGAAGAGGATGAAGATTTCTCCAGGGAATATGGCCACCAGCTCCAAGACCACAGGTACCCTGCTCACGAGGCTGGAGAGGAGAATGTCTCCGAAGAGGTCTTTAGAGGGCATGTCAGACGTGCTCATGGGCATGATAATGAAGATGTGGGAGACTCAGCAGAGTCTGAGAACCACTTCCCCAGACCGAGGAGTCCTAGCCTTGACGATGAAGATGAGGATAGCATTTTCTCCAGTGAGAATCGCCATCACATCGCCAGCCAGGTTCACCAGGGCCACGGAGGGGAAGATGCCGATGGGGAGCAGGAGGAGGGGGTGGAAGTGGAGGAGGACTCTGATGATAAGCACCAGGCCCATGGTCACCACAGCCACTCAAAGGAAGGAGATGGAGCGGGTTCAGATGAACACCATCATGCCCACAGCCACAGACGTGATGAAGGTGATGAAGAAGATGTTGACTCCAGTGAATATGGACACCAGAGCCACCAAGGCCACAAAGATGAAGAATATGAAGAAGAGGATGATGATGACGTCTCCACTGAGCGTGGGCACCAGACCCAAGGCCACAGAAAGGAAGAAGATGAGGATGAGTCCGATGAAGACCATTATCACATCTCCAGGCATGGACACGGAGGCCATGAAGATGATGATGATGATGATGATGATGATGAAGATGATGATGATGGCGGCTCCACTGAGCATGGGCACCAGGCCCACAGACACAGAGGCGACGAGAAGGAAGATGATGAGGATGACTCAGATGAAGACTACCATCATGTCCCCAGCCATGGTCATCAAAGTCACCAAGATGAGGAAGAGGACGATGAGGCTGTATCCACTGAACACTGGCACCAGTCTCCCAGACATACTCACCGTAGTCTCGGAAGTGAGAGTCAGGAAGAGGAGGTAACAGTCAGGTTCAGCCACCAACCCCAACGCCACAAGCCCGACAAGGAGGAGGACTTCCCAGAAGAATACATGACAGAAGTATTCTCCAGGGAGAGAGACGAGGACATTTCTGCTGAGTTAGGCCACAAGGACCCCAGCCACAGGCCACAAGATCAAGATGAACAGACCAGTCAGGGTCACAGAGAGTCTGTCCAAGGTGACATTGGTCGTCAGCCCCTGCAGCCCACAGGGGCTGGTTCTGAAGAATCAAAGAAGGAAGTTGACCGTAACTCTCAAGAGGGCGGTGAAGACTCAGGGCAGAGCAAAGGAGCCCACAGCGAGGAGGAGGAGGAGGAGGAGGAGCAAGGGGAGGAGGAGGAGGGTCATGGCCTCCCCATGAGCCAGGAAGATGAAGAAGAGGAAGAAAAAGATGAGAAAGAGAGCAGGGAAGACAGAGCTGAGGTTCGGACCCCCCTGAGCCATCACAGGAAGCAGGAGGAGGAGTCTGAGGAGGAGGAGGAGATCCTGGAAGAAAACCTGCTCCCATTCACCATCATCCCCAACCCCCTAGCTGGGAGGGATGTGGCCAGAGAAGGCTCCAGTGAGGAGGAGAGCCGTGAGGTCACAGGTAGGTGAGCTGGCTCTGAGGGAGTGGAGAAGGCAGAGTTAGCCCACTGGTCAGTCACTGTTGCCTCCTGTCCCCACAGGTCAGCACGAGGCCCAGGAGTACGAGAACTACCAGCCAGGGTCCCTGTGTGGCTACTGTTCTTTCTGCAATGTAGGTCCCTAGCCCGGATCTGCCCGGCAGGCCCTGGGGTGCCGGTGGGAGGCCTCGGAACCTGGGAGTAGGGGAGACAAAAACAAACGCTCCAGAACAAGCTGGAGACCAGAAGCCGGCGCAGGGAGGCTGTGGCATAAGCATTTACGGCCTCCGATGAGGGTCAGCCTCCGGGGTCTGCAACCACTCACAGGTCCTGCCCTCAGTGAGAGGGTGGACCACTTGGGGTTATCTTGAGATAGGAAGCCGGGGAGGGTGGTTGAGGAGCCACCTGGCTTCAGACAGGGAAGTGACCATCTCCTGAGGGGTTCTGGGCTGGGGGCGCCTCTGACCAGGCTCTTCCTGTCCCCAGAGATGTACTGAATGTGAGAGCTGTCACTGTGATGAGGAGAACCTGGGGGAACACTGTGACCAGTGTCAGGTGAGGCCTTCCCGAGCTCCGTGCCTCCTTCCGATATGAGCTCGGACCCTCTCCCTAGCCTCGGGCGCCGGGTGCTCCCAACTCGGCTCCCTGACCAGACCCTCTCTGTCTTCAGCACTGTCAATTCTGCTACCTCTGCCCACTGGTCTGTGAGACGCTCTGCACTCCAGGTGAGCTGCAAAGGGGGAGGGCGGGCACCCACAGAGGGCAGAGCCCAGCCGAGTGGACCCTAGTGGGGTTGGAGCCGGCCGAGCTGTGAACCAGGAAAGCCGTGGCTGAATGGTGGGGCGGGGTGGGGGTGTGGCCACGGCAAAGGCCGCGTGCGCAGAATCTGGCCTGGAACTGGGATGGAGCGAAGGTTGAAGGCACTCCTAGAAGTAAGTGTGGGGCCAGAGGAAGTAGAAACTGAGGGTGGGGAAGCTGGAGAGCTAGGGGTGCGAAGCAAGCAGGAATTAGACCAGGCCGCGCCGCCCTCAGTTCCCCCACAGTCCACCACGGCTCCCTCTTCTCTCTGCTCCCTCACAGGAAGCTACATCGACTACTTCTCCTCCTCCCTGTATCAGTAAGTGTGGGCCGGGCTGGGGGGGGGTGCGGTTCCGACTGTGGAGAGAGGGGCTGGCCCACTGTGGGTTAGAGCTGTCCTGGGACTCCGGGGTCCGTCCTGAGAAATGGGCAGGGTCACGACGGCTAACCTTTGTGTCCTCCTGTCCAGAGCCCTGGCTGACATGCTGGAGACTCCGGAGCCCTGACCTGGCCACAGCTGTCGCAGATGCGCCTCCCCTGGCCGGCCCACCTGACAAGAGCTCTGAATAAACGTGCTCCTGGAAACACCAGTGTCCCCAGTGAGATGTTTCCGGGGGGTGGGGGCCGGCAGGGCAGAGGGCAGGCTCAGGCATCAGCCTCCCCTAGAAGGCCTGAAGCAGGAAGGCCTCGATGCCTTGATTCTGGAGGTGTTGGTTTGAGTTTTTAACATCTTGAGGACAAAAGCTGGGCATGGTGGCACACACCTTTAATCTCAGTGCAGAGGCAGAGGCAGGCGGATCTCTGTGAGTTCGAGGCCAGCCTGATCTACATAGTGAGTTCCAGGCCAGCCAGGACTACAAAGTGAGACCCTGTCTCAAAAAAAGGCTGGTCAATACCAGAGCTCTTGAAACAGTAGGTCTTTACCCGTGATCACTGAGTAACGCCTGGGGCTGGGAGGCCAACTGAGCGTCGGGTGGGGAGCTCCCCGCTGTCCGTCCCCTCCCCACGCCACATCACCCAGTGGCATAGTTGACAGAGGGATTTTCCCATGCAAACCCCGGAGCCGAAGGGGAACTGGGAACGCAGTGCCGCGTCCCTGACCCTTGGGCACAGACACCGCCATAGCACGGGGGCGGGAAGGCCCCGGGGACACGTGACACAGGAGGGGGACAGGGGACCCCGCTCACAGATGACCCCGAGGACTGGCGACCAGACGCAGCGGGCCAGGGCTGAGTGGCACAGGGGGGCGAGGCTTGTAGCAGCGAGTCTCCCCTCCCCTCCTAGCGGACGAAGAAGGAAGACTTGGGCCCCGCGACTGGGCAAGAGAAAGGGGAGGGGCGGCCTCTCCCCGCATGCGGCCCGACAGGGGAGCCCCGGCCCTTTCCGCAGGTGCAGGGTGTCTGGCTCCCATCCGCAACGGATCAATAAATTACAAAGTAGAGAAAAGGGAGGCGGAAGTTTGGGGTGGGATTGCTTCCTGTCCTCTTCTTCCGCTGCCCCCCTCTTAGTCCCTTTTGTGGTTTGGTCCAGGCCCAGTCCTTTTGGAGGCGGGAACGCGCACACCGGGCTGGTGTGTACGGATGGTGCAGTCCTCGGTGTGTGCGAGCTCCCTCACGGCGGGCGGTCTCCGGCCAGACAGCATTCTGGAAAGGGGGGAAAACGGCCCAGCCTTCGGGAGGGTCTTCATCCAAGTGGGAGTGAGGTCACTTGCTTTGAGGCCAGACGGTTCAGAGTGGGAACCACCTGGTGTGCCATCCTGCGTTCCCATCGCACCACCCGAACCCTAAAAATCACCTGGCAGAGTCCTCACCTGTAGGTGCACACTAGCAGGAGTAAGTCCGCACCGAAACACCATCTGCTCGTGAACTCCCAGAAGTCTGGCCTAGAAAGAGAGCCGCTATTCAACCCGGGGCACCCCTAGTTTTCCCCAGGGAATTCCCTGCTCCTTGGTGCTGGAGATTGAAGGTAGGGGCCCCTCAATTGTTTGTCAAATACCCTACCACTGAGCCACACCCCAGCCCCTCACTGGAGGATTCTAGGCAGGGGCTCTACCACTGATCCACACCCCAGCCCCTCACTGGGGATTCTAGGCAGGTGCTCACCACTGAGCCACACCCCAGCCCCTCACTG